TCCTGCAAAAAAAAACACACACAAAAAAACTATTTTCTGTCAGTATAAATCAGAGAACCATCCTTATTTTCTCGGGTACGTTCAATCCTCTCACATTGAGCGATAGACAGGGTGGGTGAAGCATGGTGGAAATGGGTAGGGAGGATGGCCTGCTACCTCTTCCCTGCCCTTTGCTGGCCAGTACACCATTCTAAATGATCACCCCCAGTGCCTTCACAGTAAACAGATGCTTTTACACCAGTCTAACATCTATTTATGCACTTCAGATCCAAATATCCAAATATTTATGTTGATTCTCAAAGCTCTTTTATATCGAAACCTCCGACTTGTCGACTTCTCCAACCAGTGACATCACATCCGGTGACTGGCAGTAGGAGATCTAGTCCAGATGGAGCTAGTGCGGGTGCACTAGCCATGCGGTTGTTTCAGTCCCCAATTTCTTTCACTGCACTACGCACCTTCATCCTGCCTGTCGAGTTCTCCAACTATACTCACTGCGCCTGTGTGTCATCACACTGCCTGTCGTGTTCTTCAACTCTACTCACATTCTTTGACACATCTTTCTTTTAGATCCTTGGCTTAGCAAGTAAAAATATTAACTTTATGAACAGTCCTCAGCAATGCATTAATCTACAGTATGGCAGGAGTGCTGCTGGTAGAAGACCAAATAAAATGTCGTTCAATGCATGCAATATCCAGTACATAATTAAAGCTAAACTCCGAGGTAATTCAATCTGTCCAATACTACTGTTCCTACTACTCAGCTCGGGGTGCATAGTGACTGTTCTCATGGAGGACACCGGGGCGCCAGTCCCGCACCGGAGGAGGTAAGTTTACCGAGGGTTGGAGAGGGGGCCAGATTTGAGTGGGTAATTCAATTTTCCCAAAATACTTGGTAAGGTGAATTTACCCTTTTAACCACTTGCTGACCAGGGTGTTAATACCCCCTTCCTGTCCAGGCCATTTTTCAGTATTCAGCGCTGCGGTACTTTGACATTTATTCTGTCATGCAACGCTTTACTGAAATAAATTTTATACCATTTTTTGGGGACAGATAGAGCTTTCTTTTGGTGGTATTTAATCACCACTACGTTTTTTGTTTTTGTTTTACTATATAATGAAAAAAGTACAGAAAAAAAAAAAAAAACCTGTTCTCCCTACGTTATGTTATAAAACATTTATTATTACCCAATTTTTTGGTAAAATATAAAAGACGGGGTCACATCAGGTAAATAGACACCAAACATGTCAAGCTTTAAAATTGCGCGCACCCGCTAAATCGCAAAAAACTACCATACCCAAAATTGATCATAGCCGACGCTTTAAAAGCTTTTACCGCTCATCAGCTTAGTGTTATCAGTGATTAATGGCCCTAGAATTATTGCTCTCACTCCGACGTTCGCAGCGATATGTAACATGTGCGGCGCAATGGATGTGATCGTCGTTTTCGCACGTAGGCGGACTTGACGCATGTGTGCATGTGGGGGCGTGTGCATGTGCAAAGAAGTTTAGGCTCTTGGAGGATGTTGTTCAATATAACCTCAGTGTGTGGCAGGCAAGTGGCACCTCGTGTAGAAGAGTCTGTGTTTAAAGTGGACCCTCTTTCACTAAAAATCCCGTCAGCTTGCAGCTCTGCATGCTGATTTAAAATCCTCTTACATTCATTAGTTAAACAAACTTGTTTTTCATTTACTTACAAATAGAGTTCATCCACTTCCTGGTCCAGTTCTGGCAGAAATTATGTAAGTCCCAAAGCGTTGCATCCTGGGAAGATTACATCAGCAGAGCATTGCTGGGAAATCTCCTGAGAGCCCAGGCATTTTCCTCCCCCGAGATGATGTGCATGGTAACATATCCTAGTCACGTGTGCCAGAGTTCCAGGTAGTAAAGGGAGATCTAGTACCCTGCCCTATTAACATGGTCACTGTCAGAAGACTGGAAAAGGAAAGAGAAATAAGGTATGCAAAGAATACAAAGCCTGTAATTATCTGGAATTATGTGTTTGTAGATTGTCAATTTCAAACATTTCTAAAGGTGTGTTTGTTGTTATTTTTAAAGATATGGGTAAAGGTCTGCTTTAAAGTGTTAGTAAACCCTCCGTTTTTTTTTTCTTTGCATATATCTACTGCTAGTAAGCAGTAGATATATGCAAAAACTTTAAAAAACAAAAAAAGCTTTAAAAAGGGTTAATACTTACCTGTGTCTTCCCGGCGCGCTCCCGTCCGAAAATCTGAAAAATCTCGGGCAGCCGCAAAGGATCTTGGGGCGGGTGCATGCACAGTTCAGATTTTCAGCCGGGAGACGAGGAGAGACACAAGGTAAGTCTAAAGATGACGTGCACCGCATGCAGACAGGAAGTGCCAGCAAGCACAGAGGAGTCAGCGCTGAATCGGAGACCCGCAGCAGCGCCGGAGAGAAGGCTAAAAAGGTCAGTAAAGAAGAAGAAGATCTGATTAAGAGACATCATTTAAGGTAAGTGCTTACATTAACATTGGGAGGAGGGAAACATTTTTTATCCTTTAATGTCACTTTAAGGAAATCCTTAATAGAAGTTTTCATATATAATTTCTCTTTACCTATTGCCTATGTGCTCATTCTTGTTATTTTTTAATCTGGAGTCCCAATTGCTTTTGGATCTTGACAGCAGCTTCAATTTCCTTTCTTATGACAACAAGAAGAAGACAAAATTACTTCCTGGTTTCTCGTTGTCGAGACGTACTGCACCTCTGCAGTACCAGTGAGTTGCCTCCAGCATGAAAAAATCATAGGCTTACCTACCTGCGATATCAAAATCGGCCACAAGATGGAGCCGAAGAGCAAACATCTTTATTTACAGCAGCTTCAAGACTCTTCCTTTATCCGCCTGCCGACCGGCCGTTGTAAAAATACGGCCGGCCGGGAGCTTCCTAGATCTGAGCGGGCATATTTAATCGTCCCGCCAGCCACGCCCACTCGCGTGCGCCGCAGGAGCCTGCCTAAATTTAAAAACATTCAGGATGCCTGTTTACATACAAGCAATACGCCGGCGAATCGCTTTTATAAGTTGGTGGTCCATGTAGGCTGGTACTGTATTTACATGTTTTACATTTTGATTAGTATATTTCTGTGTTCTTTTACCAGTTGCACCCCACCCTGTTTTGTTAAAAAAAAAGCATCAAGCCTGGCTTATTGCAGAATAGGAGGCTTTAGCTGCATGTTGAGCTATACACAGGCCACAGGGTAATGTATAGCGGGGACAAAACAACCAGTGCACATAATACAAGACACATGTTCAGTGTCCTATATACTCTAGTAATCTACCTGTGACTATATATATATGCAGACATGAATTTCGTCTTGTTTATAGTCGGCGATAGACTGCAGTTTACAGTGTTGATTTGAGGCTCCGTCCTCGGAGCTAGGGGGAAAAGAATGGATACAGCACTAAAAAAATAGAAAAAAAAAGTTGTTTTTGCTTAGCCAGACATTCTCATATAGGGCGTACCCAACAACAGACATTTATACACCCCATTACTGCACCAAATATAATGTTGCATTTTCTACAAATGTATGCAGTTTTCGTTGAAACAATAGTTCAGCCATCATTTATCCATTTCAAAATGCTAAACAATTCAGTAGCCACTTGTTTGTCCCCATGGCTGTTGGCCCTCTCAAAACTACAATATCATAAAACCACTAATGTTATGAATGCATGACTGTAAATTCTGGCATATAGTATTAAATAACATACAACATGATATACTTTGCACTGAATGACAGTGACCGCCCCAATGATGCAAAGGTTTCATGATCTCTCAGCATCCAAACTATTGCGTAACTTGATAGAAGCTCTAGAAGCAGATGACCTGAACTTAAATCTCTGTGCCCGCTCTGTAGAGCTGTGTTCCTTGCTGGTGCCATGAGACAAATAAAGCTGCTAGAAACATACCTTCATATTGCTCTTTCTCACAGTCTCAAACTTTTGAGCCGCTGACACTCATTTTTTACCCTTTTGCCAAAACTAGAGATGAACCAAAATTGAATTTTTAGACCGAAAGCAAAAATAAAACATTTGTCAGGCAGAAACGAAAACCAAAAATGACAGTTTTTTCCAACGTTTTTATAATTTTGTAAAAGTTTTTAAATTTTATATTATTTCTATTTATTTAATTATTTTTTACTTTGCTATTGGGGGCTTCAGTGAAATATCAGGGGTCTAAACAGACCCCTGATATTTCCCTTTTAAAATAAAAAAGGGATTGATGACTTTTTCTGCAGCCCCTGTTCTGAATGGACAGGAAGCCTCTTTACTGATTTGTTCCTGTCCATTCATAAACTGGGGATATAGTGTTCGTTACTATGTCCACAATTATGAATGAACAGGAAGTGATGTACAACACTTCCTGTTTATTCATAACTGGGGGACACAGTGAGCCTACTGTGTCCTCGGTTATTTACAAACATTCATCAATCAGCATCCATAGTTGTCTCCTCCCCTCTCGGCCTCAAAGCTTCTCTCCTCCCCGCTGGACGCTAGTCTGTGTCCCCTTGGATTCCTGTTGCCTCTGCCGACACAGGCAGGTGAGAGCAGCGGGCATTGGAGGGGACACAGACCGGCACCCAGTCTGGAGGAGAGAACCCTAGGAATGGAATTAATTTTCGGCCACATTTTGCCCAAAGTACCATTTTTGGACAAAATGTTTCGGCAGCTGAAATTTTCAGTGCATCCCTAGCCAAAACAGTACTAGGGTATAAAAGTACTCATGTAAAGTACTAATGTTTATCATGGGTAGATGTGTTAATATGATCCAACCAACAAAAGGTCTTTCTTTTGAGTAAAACAGGAAAAGGGGACAGTAGTTTAACTGTGCCTGTTCCTATATTTAAAATGTAACAGTGTTTCGGGGATAGATTTACAAAAAAACAAAAAAAACAGTAATGAGTTAAAATACTTCTATTGCTAAAAATACAATTTCATTGTGAAGATTTTCATGATTTTCTTATTTTTTTTTATTTTGCAGGCTGATCAGAGGTTTGTATGGAATGGACATTTACTGAGAGAGTTTTCTGCACAACCTGAGGTAATTCAGTGTTATTATTTTAACGGGTTCAAATACGTAATGTATTAATCAAGAGCATGTTAGGTAGAATATTCACAATTGGTTGCTTGGTATAATGTGGAATGTTTAAAATGTTTTTAATTGGTGGACTTGCTGAAGACCGTTTTTTCCTACCAAGCTGCAAAGTTCTTTTCATAAAGTTTGACTGTAAGGGGAAATCTCACTGACAAAACGCAGACAGGACAAATACTAACAGGGGTCTTATCCATTCCATACTTTATCCAAAACTTAAACAGGAAAAAAATTTGACTTACATACACTTACCGTACTTACATTATAATCAGACTTCTTTGTTGCCTTTTTAAATGAAAGCTTTCTGGAACTTTAAAGAAAAGGTTTTCTTTAATATTCTATCTTTTTAGCATTTGTTGACCACTTTGGCAGCCTTATGATTTCATCTCTGCAAATATGTTCTTATTAAGGTTAGCTGCAACATATTGGGGAAATAGGCGCGGTTTCTCCAGAATGGCTGTAATGGCATTTTGTGTACAAAACCAGCAACATGTTTTCCTTCCTCCATGGAACCCTATTTGATTATTGTTCCCTCTCTTTGAAATACATGATACACAATGATGTCTGCCTGTTCTCCGGGAGGCCTGTTCCCAAGAAACCAGCTGTATCTTGTCCACAAGGGTGTAGGGAGGTATTTCCTATTCTATACTACATAGGAAATGGTGATAGATGAGTTCACAAGTCAGAGGAGACCGCAAACCTCACTGCTGATTCTCTGTTTCCAAGCTGTGGCAAAAAAACTCATAAATCAGAGTCCTGGTGAATCACCTTTTTTTCATTTCTCTGCTGGGTCACTGTTGAGCAGCTGGAATTCGGGAGATGGGAGAATCTTACAGTGACACTAAACTCAGGAGTTAAATCATAAAAATACATTCAAGTACCTTAACTATTAACAAAACTGTAGCTTCTTTGTGCATCACTCGGTTGTAGCTCCTCAAATCATCTCTGAATTCATGCTGACACTGTCCTTTCCTCTGGGGGGAGGCTACTTTTGTTCCCCATGGTCCTCCCTGTATGTGTTGTAAAGTAGCCACCGCTCCAGGCTCACTTCCTTGATTGACTAAAACGTCAATATAAATGAGCTAACTAAACATGAAAAATGCGAGCATGGAGCGGTGGCTCTACAACACACACAGGAACCATAGCGAACAAAAGTAAGCCACCCTCCAGAAGGAAGGACAGCATTAACACTAATTCAGAGATGATTTGATGATCTACAGCCGAGTGATACACAAATACGCTACATTTTGTTAATAATGAAGGTACAGGAATGCATTTTTAAGATTTACTGTAACTTCTGAGGGATACCCTGTGCTTTACTGAGCTGGAGAGCTAAGTTATACCTGGCATCAGATGACTTAATAGAAACAAAAGGGTTCTGCTAATTTGTCAGGCTGTCCTCTCTCTCTCTTTTAATCTCTATAGTGTTCTCCCCAGGCAGTTGGAGGCATTCGTTATGTCACAGGAATATTTTCCAAACTGTTGGAAGATATTGCTGTGCATGTATCACATCCATGTTACATGTTTTTGGTGCCCAGAGAGTATCAAGGCACTTTATCACCAAAAGTGCATAATGCCTTTTGGGAAGTTTTGAGTTTTATCAGTGACACCAAATCATTGCCAATTGCACTCCGTTTTGTTTTCTTCTACTCCATGATTTTTACATGCCTGCCAGGTTTTGGCCACATTTGCCAATGCCCTTATGATAACATCCTTTTTATTACAGGAATCTTGCATACCTTAAAAAGACAATGGGGTTGATTTACTAAGGCAGGAGAGAAATTGAAATGAATTAAATTAACCAATCAGGTGCCAGCAAAATCCTGTTTTTTTTTTTTATTTCTCTTGCACATGATTGGCTTTTCCAGCTGAACTTGCCTCATTTACTATTATTCATTTTGGAACGTAAAAAGAGTGAACAATCACTTTGCAGAATGTATCCCTTTAGTAAATCAACTCTGTTGCTTGGTTAGAAACTGCTACTCTTAAATCCTCCTTTTATGGCCAGATCCAGGCCCTTCTGACTGGAAAAGCTCAAACACTTCTGGCTAGTGTTGGAGTTTGCCACTAAGCCCTGCTTCCCACATGATCCCATTTGCACATCGCTATAAAAGGTAGACTTACTGACTAATAGGAATGTATGAAAAAGTGCATGAGCTTTCTTTGTCAGAGCTACCAACATTCAGTTGTATAGAGGATTATAGAGGGTGCCTGCACTTTGTACCTGTAGCAGTTTATTATTTATTTATTTTGGCAACAGATTGTAGACGCATACAATTGTAAATTACAAAAGTTAGACATTTTCCATGTAATAAAAAAACCTAACCTATTTTGCTAGTATTTTAGAATATATAAAAATATTAATCAGAAAGAATTTCATCTTCTTTTTTCCATCCAAAGATCCAGAAATTTGCTGTTCCGGTTATTCACGGATGTATCCTTTTAAAATGTGTATGTTTAAAAGTAGGTACAATACTGTCTAACTACATCATATAAAAAAGACCATTTTTACATTTTGTAAAATGAATTTATTGTGCAGAATAATCAGGCAGGTTTTAGAAGCTAAGTTCCTTTTAAAATGGGCTATTAGTGAATATATAAACTCCATGAAATGTTAGAGTTTTACTAGTGCATTTTTAGGGCAACACCAGCATATAGCAACTTTGATCAAAAGTTTAGAGCTCGTGCTTTTATAGACTTTGTCACTGCTCCACTTGCACTCCACTCTGCCCTTTTTTTCTTTTAATTTCTCACTACCTGAATACTCCCACTAGAAACCTGATTTCAGATTGGTTCAAGGCAAATCATTCTACAGGCATATTCCTTGTGATTACATTCATTGTTTTGGAAACTTGTTGTGTATATACCTTTTAATACAATGCATGAGGTATCAAAGGTGAATTTTTTAATATTTGCTTGGAATTCATCTTTGAAGATTAAGTGTACTCTTGTACAAAATAAAGGCTACCCATTGATATAAGATGAATTTTGCTTAATGCAAGCAGTTATGATCATATGTTATTTAACAAACTACAGCCCCTACATATGCCATACAGGGGAAAATCTGTTGTCTGAGTTATTTTTCTTAGGGATGATCGCCTTTTGGCCATACAAGGCTCTACTTTCAGCCAATTGCTGCCAAATCGGCTGAAAATCCAGTTGTGGGTGGTCCAGTCATCACCTCCCAGTTCCACCAAAGTGGATTGAAAAATTGTTGGCCAAACATTACTGCATTAGAAGGCTGTTTTTGCAGTGCAAAAAAATGCATGATTGGCCAAATCAATCATAAACATTTATGTAAAGGATATTTTATTAGAATTTTCAGTGGTCAGAATTTGTAACTTCTTCTTTTAAAGTGATATAAAGTCAAAAGGTTTTTCAGCTATTTCAAATGCTGATTTAATTATAATGGATGTGGCTTCTTGATTTTTTAAAAGTTTAATTTCCTGCAGAATTAGCTGGTCCCCTGAGCACTGGCCCTAACATCCTGTTTTAGGATGACTCCTTTCCATTGCAGGGTCCTATGGAGCCACCCTTTTGTGTGCTAGTAAGGTGTGTGCGCCTCCACAAACACACAGGCACAGCAGGGCAAGTCACTCCCCACCTTGCTGCTCCTTCCTCCTCTCTTCTCCAAGTTAAAAGATGGATAGTTACTGTAGAAACCACGGTCCGTTGTTGATCTTGTATTGGACAGGAAGTTCAGGGTAGCTGAGCTGATAGAATTGGAGACAACTGTTCCAAAACATGATGACTGTCAGAGCTCGGGCAAAGTAAAGAACTTCTTTGCTAGGCAAGTGTATATTCGTTTGAGCTGGATTCATTTTTGAAAGAAAGTTTGAGGCTTTAATACTACTTTGTCTATCTAAATTGCTGTGTTACTGTCTATAACTGGTTGAGCCAATGCCAACATTCTAAAAATCTAAATTCCTGTAATCAGGGACTGAGGGATTGACATGTTATCGCTTAGTTCCTGATCATTAGAGCCGACGTGTGACAGCTTCAGTCTCACATGTCAGTTATAATTATGGGGATTATTATTATTATTATACAGGATTTATATAGCACCAACAGTTTGCGCAGCGCTTCACAATGTATGGAAGACATTTCAATCGCAATACACTTCAATACAAGATGGTATGAGGGCCCTGCCCGTGAGGGCTTACAATCTAAAAGAGAGAGGGCAAGTGATACATGAGGAGGTAGCTGTGTGGGAATGATTGTTTGAGAAAGTGATGGTTCATTGGTTAGGTTGAGGTGGGATAGGCTTCCCTGAAGAGATGAGTCTCAAGCGATCGCCTAAAGGCAGTCAGTGTAGGAGATAGACGGACAGGTTGGGGTAGAGAGTTCCATAGGATGGGAGAGACTCTAGTGAAGTCCTGGAGGCAAGCATGGGTGGAGTTGATGAGGGAGCTGGAAAGCATGAGGTCTTTCACTCACCCCATGATTCTCCTCTCAGTTATGAAGTGTGCTGTAGGCAAAAGGAAGAAGCTGCAGTTTTATGATTTTTAAGAAAGGAGGCATAACATATTTATATTTCCAGATGATCTCTGCCAGCTGATTATGAACTAACCAAGGGTGCAGGAACAACTAAAGGAATATCTTAGATTATACAGAGTCCTTTAGATTTCTTTATCGGGAAATAGAAAATTTCTATTGACCCTTGATCCGATCACATACGAATCGATCCAATCACACATCAGGTGAAAAATGTATAGAGCCCCTCATTAGGTGAGGAAAAAGCATCAACAAAATCTTATCTGCATCCAAAAACACAAAAGTTTGATCTAACCATCAGACGTTTACTAAATCTAAGAGAGGAACTATAAGACTGAATAATCTTAAAGTGCATTTCCACTTTTGCAGCCAAATTGGAAAAAACACTTATTTTATTTTTTTACAAGCTAAAAAACAAAATTAAAATGTGCTTGCAGTTTAAATTGCTTTTTACTTGCTAAAACTTTACTTTTCTTCTCCTTATTTGTATTGTTAGGAGATTCAAATACTGCCTATCCTAACAAAGGGTTAATGGATCACAACCCTGGCTTTTGGTTGTATGTTAATGAGAGGAACAAATTTTTAGGTTTTCTCCAATTTGACTGCAAAGGTAGAAATACACTTTATGATACAGACCTAGCCTGCTGTGAGGAACAGGTATTATGTCAGGGAAATTATGATTGGATCTCTCCTTATCCTCTGTTTTGGTTACGTACACAGAAGCCATGAATATTAGCAAAACACCGACAATCAGCTATTAGAGATCTGCTTGATAAGATATGGTCTTTATGATAACTGTCTGAAAATGTTAATGCTCATATATTTATACCCTTTCTGGCGTTGCATGGCATGGGTGGGGGCAGGGACGGAGCAATAACCCTAAGATGCTCTGAGCCACACACATAAAATGGTCTTCCACACTTCCTGAAGGAAATGGTGCATGTCATTGCAAAACACATTAAAGGGAATTTATAAGAACTGGAGCAGACAAAATCTGGAGCAGTTGCCCATGGCAGCTAATCAACTTCTCTCTGTCATTTTCAAATCTTAACTGACCAAACTGAAGAGAGGAGCTGATTGGCTGCCATGCACAGCTGGTTCAGTTTTGATAAATTCCCCCCAATAAATTGTGCTTGAATTGTGAACTGTGGCTTTCACGCCATCAGACAACTCAGCGATTTATATGTTGGAAAGTATATGGACTTCATCAACAAATCAAGAGACTACTGACTGATGGTATGGTAAGGCGGTAAATATGTGGTTACAACATGTGGATGTAAAGCTGAACATTTAAGATGATACGTATATATTAAATACAAAAGAGCGTAAATATTTAGAAGATATAAAGTGTGATACTTAATGGACTCAAAGAAATAGATTTTTCTGTAAGTACAAAAGACATTTTGCCCATGATGCAAAAAGAATAACACATGTTTTCAACTTTTGTATCTTACTGAGCAGACGGTTATTTCATCTAACATGTTATGACATTTGGCAAAGTCTGCACTAGGGATGAGATTCAGTTCATCCAGCTGCTAGAATGTTAACAAAGCAGCCGGAGATCCCAGGTGATGTTATTGTCCTAATGTGGTCATGTCCTTGACATCACCCAGAATCCCCAGGTGCTGTTTACAGCAGATCATTACATTTCAGCAGCGGGACATCGTGATTGCCAATGCATCTACACTGCTGGACAACATCAGGGGACATTATTTACTTTTTTGTATGGCAGCAAAGGACTTTTTCATGGTGTGGGCATCTTTAGCTGCTTCAGGACCGCCCAACGTCAAAATACATCCTGGTCCCTGAAGCTGTTATACCAAGAACATGGCTGCTGCTGTAGCCGTGTTCTTGGCATAATTTTAAACAGCTGGCGATGGCTGTTTAGATACAAGCGATCCGGCAGCTATGCAGCCTCCGGATCGCTTGTACGATGCAGCCGAATGTGTGCCTTCCCCTCTGCCGCCGTCTACCCCGGGCTCCGCTGTCACCCTGGTGGGTCCGGCACATTGGGTCTCCCCTCACCGATTGGGGGGAGTTCAGCAAGCTTTGGGTATTATATTCTTAAGCCCCTTTCCCTCACCCTTCCCTTTGCAAGGTGCCTTGTCCTAATGCTTTAAGCAGCCTGCAATGGCCGTTTAGATACGAGTGATCCGGTGGCTATACAAATCCAGGAATCTTTCAGAATAGATAATAACCTAACAGCTAGCTAAAGATTTTAAAAAGTATTTAAAAACCTCAGTGGGCATGCTATCTTGTTGAACAAATGTGCATCACAAAGATGACTAGTAAAGGAGTTCATCAACACAATAATTAATACACATTCATGTGGATATTAGGCTAATATTGCAATATACATATTCTGGGTTGACTGTATAGGACTTTTTTGGGGGATTGAGTGAGCTTTCACAACTCACTGTGATGTACAGTCCCCTTGTATGTCACCTTTTATGGGATTGAACCTTTATTTTTCTATAGATTCACTTTTTGATGTTCTTCTTTTGAGACATAATCAATCACAGAAAATTATGATTTTGTGTTCCTTAACATCTCTTCAGTTATAGCAATACATTCCTGTTCTGTTAATGGAAAATACTTTGACTGGATTCTCATCTCAAGGAGAAGTTGTTTTCGAGCTGGTGTACGATACTATGTTAGAGGTATAGTACATGTCTTCTTTAAAAACTGTAAACAAGGGGCTAACTAAATAAATGTAAATAATAGTATATATCTAACATATGTCATGTTTGTCCATCATAGGAAATTGTAATAGTATTTTAACTTGCTTTAGTCTCTCCACCCAAGCACGTTTTTAAAATTTTATGTTGGTTTTAGGCTTAGGTTATTGAGGTGATTTTTTGTTGTTGTTGTTTGAAACCTTGAAGATTATGAAATGGCTACCTGTTGTACCTGTTGTATGTAAGGTGAAAAGCTGTATTAAGCAGCAATTCATAACACATCATACAGTGTTTAAACTGTGTGAACTACTGCAATTATGCTTTATAGCTTATGCCATGAGGGAGCCATTAGCTGCATATGTTTATGATTGATAGCAACTTTTTCATTCACTGTCCTTTTTAGCCATACAGTGTATCTTAGGCTCCATTCACACTGGAGCGGCTGTCAGCGCGTATTCGGCTGTACAAATATGCACAGAGCCGCTCTAAACAGAAAAAAAAAATGCACTTTAATGTGCATTGTTCAGATTTTTGTTGGGACCGCGTGGCCCCCAAAATAGTGCAAGTGCGATAATATGGCGGATTTCGCACGTTCGCGGCTAAATAATAGCCAGAAGCTAGCAGAATCCGTGCGGATTAAACATTTTAACGTCGAAACGCTATATGTAAATGGAGCCTTAGACCTTAGTTCCTTAACATTCAGTATCTTTTTCTTATTCAAGATTTGAAAGTTAAATAAGTTCAGACAAAACATCTTTTTTTAATAGAAAATTTTCCATCACTTTCTGTTCTGGTGGCAACAGTTTTAGCAGACAGTGAAGGAAAATCTGTGACCAATATACCAAAACAAATCTAACAGGGGTTCTAACTACCCCTAAAGAAAAACCTAAATTGATACTTTAAGGCTTAATTGGTACTACCATGCTATATACTGTGTTACCACCATGCTATATGTGTGTTGAGGTTCATTACAATATATAAATATAAAATAACAAATATAGTGTTTTTGAGTATTCAATTATTTTTTACAAATCTTCATTCAAATTACTTTTAATTTGATTTGATGTCGTGCTGCACATTTTGATTAGTTGAAGCTTAACTATTTCTGACATTGTTGGCTGTGATCCCTTATTTCCGAGAATGCAGCTGAAGGTTTGCACTGTGAAGCGTGGACTGACACTTTGTAAACTCCTCCAAATGTCTTCCTCATTTGTGGGCAAAACTATGCATTATTACGGGGTGGGCAAACTCTGGCCATTCAGCTTTGGTGAGATACAAATCCCATCATGCATCTGTCTTTGGGAGTCATGCCTGTGAAAATCTTGCAATATGTCATGGAATTTGTAGTTCCAGAACAGTTGGAGGACCGGAGTTTGCCCACCTCTGCATTATTAGGATTACCTCAAAAGTTCTTTAGATTATTTAACAAAGTTTCAGATCTTGGCCCATCGGATGGATAGATGTAAATTTACCCAATAGAAAATTTGTTTTTGAACAATTTTCGTTTTTGTCTTGCATGTACTGGTTTAATGCAGTCTTATAGTATGACAGATCCTAGAAGTGAGACTTTAACCACTTGAAGACCAGGTGTTTACACCCCCTTCCTGGCCAGGCCATTTTTCAGTATTCAGCGCTGCAGTACTTTGACGTTTATTCCGTCATGCATCGCGGTGCTTAAATGAATTTTATACCATTTTTTGGGGACAGATAGAGCTTTCTTTTGGTGGAATTTAATCACCACTGCAGTTTTTTTTTTTACTATATTAAGGAAAAAATCACTGAAAATTTTGAAAAATAAAAAAAGGTGTTTTTTTTACATTATGTTATAATACAATTATTATTACCCAATTTTTTGGTAAAATATAAAAGACGGGGTCACATCGGGTAAATAGACACCATGTTAAGCTTTAAAATTGCGCGCACCCACGAAATCGCAAAAAAAATACAATACCCAAAATTGACCATAGGCGACGCTTTAAAAGCTTTTTACGCCGGAGAGTGACACAAGAATGAGGAAGTGATATAATATTCATCACTTTCGCATTCTGACACTGGGGAGGGGACCGGAGGGAGATCGTGTACTGATCCCCTTTAACAGAGCCACCAGCACAGTG